CGCTTTGATTTGTCTTCTCTGCCTTCCAAAGCTTTTCCTTCTCTATTTCCTCTATTGGTTTTCATATTTGAAGCTTCTCTTGCGCATCGGTCACTATTCTTCTCTTTCTGTCGGTGTGTTTTGCTTTCCTCACTTTCCAAAACCATCAGGTCGCTTTTCTATGTAATTTTCTCTCAATTTTAGATTTTCGATGGCAGAAGCTAAGCATCAATGCTGCGATGCACCGGTTTGTTGATCGATAATTTTTAAAATTTATTTATTTTGCTTCATTTTGAGTTTTAAAATCGAAAGCATTTGAAATTTATCTTTTTGCAATGCAGCCAATTTTTGTGGATATAATTTTAAGGAAAAAGCAATTCTTGCGGATAAATTTGTTGCTGATTGTAGTTGATAAAGGATTTTTAGTCCTTAAAGCAAACTTGAAAATTCTTTTCTTCTTCATTCTTTTAAGCTAAACGTTTAAATTAAAAGTATTTTGAAAAATGTGATTGTGCTGGCCGGATATGATTCTATAGGAGAATAAATGTATAGTATTTGGTCTACACTGGTATAAAATGGGTATTACATAAATATTTCAAGGTTGCAGTGATTGGGAATATGAGGTTTAGGCCAAATATTCCGATGCATGTAATTAATGTTTCCATTATCAGATACGAATTAGTTTGTTTCCTTTTGGATATGTATATCTTTTTATAAATTATTCATGAATGCCATTTTCATGGTGTGTTTTCTCGTTTCTGGTGGTCCGTCCTTTTCTACATCCCACCTTTGGTAGATTTTTAATTGCCCATGCTAGTTGTATGCCTCGACAGTTGCTCTCTACTTTTAAATATGAAATTTATTGTTTTCTGAGCTAAATATCCGTATTAATTTGTCTCTTCAAGACTCTAAAGTCTAACCAACCATTTTAGTTTCCCTTATATTAAAGACATATCATAATTAAGGAAAAGTTTTGACTTCTCCGGTACCAATTTCTTCCATGAATATGCCCCTTTGTTTATCTATTTATCGGTTTAACTCCAAGATGATTTTTTTTTCTGTGCCTTTGAAAATAATTTAATTTCCAGTTTCGTTTTATGCGTGCTTATGTATCTTGTGACGCAGAGAAAGTACAAGAACGCTCGGTATATGCCTCAACGTGAACATTGCATTTCACTGTGTTCATACTGCGGTTCATTAATTGTCGTAATATCTAGATTTCTTGTTTTGCTGGATCATCCTCAATCTTTGGTCTGTTTCAGTACAAAAACTGCTGCTGTATAGTATGATGTTTTAGATGTCAAATCTCTTTTGGAATAGAATATTCCTCAACCACTCTTACAGGTAAGCTTGATGGTGATGGATGTGTGTCATCATAAAGCTTCCGGTACTCTCATAGCACGGTCATAGTTTGGTGTTTCCTCACTTCCCATGTTGACACTTGACAGGGGTGCTCATGACATTACCATCCGCATGAAATTTTGTGAATAGTGGAAAGCCAAAACTTGAAACTAGAATTACGCACTTCATTTAAAGGGCACCCGCAATATACTGTTTTGTGAAATCAGTTTTTGGTCCATTTGCATTTTCACTTTGCCCATTCTTCTAGTCTGTTTTTGGATTATGTTAGCCATTGACATTTGGTTCTGTCTCCTTCACATTTAGAATTGGCAATGGACCGAAGGAGCTGGCCTTGGAAGAAAAAATCATCAGATAAAGCAGCTAGTGTCACTGTTGCTTCAGACTCTAATAATGCTCCTTCAGATTCAGCAGGATCTCAGGGTGATCAGGTCTGTTCATTCGCATGATAGGTCTATTGAGGAAAAAACATATTAATTCTTGACCCACTTCGTCATTGTTTTTAATCATATTTACTGCTCATACTTTTGTGCAAATCCTACTTCACTTGGAAGTTTTCTGGCCTATGTTAGAATGCTTTACATTCTGGTCTTCTTCAGCAGATTATGATTGTTGAGTGCCATATCTTCATCAGCAAGTTTGCATAATATTGATTTTTACACAAATGATATTTGTCAAAAAGAAAAAAAGAAAAAGAAACAGAGGGCTTCGGGAACAACAACGCACGCTCTTGAATCAATCCCTCATTTGCAATGGAGTTAACAATCATTTAAACTACCAGAGAGTAGATAACTGTGAAACTTACATCTTAGGCCAGTCCTTGCAATTATTTTTCTTATTTGTACCCCTCGAATTGTATGCATTTATCCACTAGATATATCTGGATGCACTTTAATGAGAAATTCACAATAACTTATTTTACTTCTCAACATCTTTTGCTTTTTCTGGCACTAGAATAACTGTCATGGTATCCTTGTTTTTCTCTATTTTAGTATTTTCATTTGTTTCCAGGTAAAGAAGGATGACTACAAAAAGCCGAAGTATGTGCAAATATCCGTGGACACCTATTCTTACCTAACTGGATTGGAGGATCAAGTGAAGTCCTATGAGGAACAAGTGGGCACTTTGGAAGAAGAGATCAAGGAACTAAATGAAAAGTTAGCTGCAGCCAATACAGAGATGACTAATAAGGAAAACCTGGTGAAACAACATGCTAAAGTGGCTGAAGAAGCTGTTTCAGGTTTGTTAACTGTCAGCTTCTAGCATATTCAGGAAAAGGCTAAGCACGCATTCAATCTTCTGGCATTTCAACTTTTTAAAATGGCATTGGTATGTGAAACAGGTTGGGAAAAGGCTGAGGCAGAAGCTTTATCTTTGAAAAACCATCTAGAATCCGTTACACTGTTAAAGCTAACAGCTGAAGATCGGGCATCACACCTGGATGGAGCTCTCAAGGAATGCATGCGGCAGATACGAAACCTGAAGGAAGAACATGAACAAAAACTTCATGAAGTTGTTGTCAACAAAACAAAACAGATTGACAAGTTAAAGCTTGACTTTGAATCAAAAATATCCAACTTGGACCAAGAATTGCGCAGGTCTGCTGCTGAAAATGCTGCACTTTCAAGGTCTTTGCAAGAGCGTTCAAACATGCTGATCAAGCTAAATGAGGAAAAATCACAGGCTGAAGCAGAGATAGAACTTCTGAAGAGCAATATTGAATCATGTCAAAAGGAAATCAATTCGCTAAAGTATGAAGTCCATATAGTTACAAAGGAGTTAGAAATCCGTAATGAGGAAAAGAACATGACTGTAAGATCAGCAGAAGTGGCAAACAAGCAGCATTTGGAAGGAGTAAAGAAAATAGCTAAGCTGGAAGCAGAGTGCCAAAGATTACGTGGTCTTGTTCGAAAGAAGTTGCCTGGTCCTGCTGCGTTGGCACAAATGAAGCTAGAAGTTGAAAGCTTAGGCCGTGATCAAGGGGAAACTCGGATGAAGAGATCTCCAGTAAAGCCTCCTGTGGCACATTTGTCGCAATTGCCTGAATTTTCAATAGACAATGCACACAAATATCAGAAAGAGAATCAGTTGCTCACAGAACGCTTACTGGCCATGGAGGAAGAAACAAAAATGTTAAAAGAAGCTGTGGCCAAGCGTAACAGTGAATTGCAAGCCTCTAGGAGTATTTGTGCTAAGACAGCTAGCAAGCTTCAAAGTCTGGAGGCACAGTTGCAAGCTAATGGAGAACTAAGAAGTCCTCTAAAATTCAACATTCAGATGCCTATTGAAGGTTCTTTGAGTCAAAATGCAAGCAATCCACCAAGCTTAACATCCATGTCTGAAGATGGAAATGAAGATGATGCGAGTTGTGCTGGGTCTTGGGCTACTGCATTAGTGTCTGAGCTCTCTCATTTCAAGAAGGAAAAGAACATTGATGGTTCTCAGAAGTCTGAAAATGCTAATCATCTGGAGCTGATGGATGACTTCCTGGAAATGGAGAAATTAGCATACCTATCAAATAATTCAAATGAAGCAGTTTCTGTCTCTGATATTTCAAACAATGGGATATCTGATATTGTAAATCATAACTCTGCAGTTGAAGGAGGATTACAGGAGCATCACGACTCTGATTCATTGGAAATTCAGATCTCTTCCAAGTTAGAACTGCCACAAAAAGACCCTGAAGTCAATGCAGATCCTCTGGTAAAGCTCCAGTCAAGACTTTCTGTGATACTTGAGTCACTAACTATGCATACTGACATTCACAAAGTTTTGGAGGATCTTAGACATGTGGTGCAGGAAACATATGATTGTCTGCACCATCAATCTGTGAGCTGTGTTGTAGAGGCAACTCAAGCTCTCGATACTTCATCTGATTTCAAAAGTGAAGCCGAAGTGACTTCGGAGAAGGAAACAGTTTTCTCTGAACAGCGCAAACCTTGTATGGAGACTTTGTGTGCTCTAAGCCAGGAATTAGTTGCTGCTATCACTCAGATTCATGACTTTGTAACAGTTTTGGGCAAAGAGGCCAAGGTTGTGCAAGGAATATCTGTAGATGGTGAGGGACTAGGTGAAATATTGGATGACTTTTATGGCAAATATAATGAGGTTGCAAGCAGCAAAGGTGATCTGGTTAAATTTGTCTTTAGCCTTTCTCGTGTGTTAGGTAAGGCAAATGAGCTCCATTTTAATGTCCTCGGCTACAAAATATCTGAAGTAGAAAGTAACAATTCTGATTGTATCGACAAGGTTGCCTTACCAGAGAATAAAGGCTCCCAGGATTCAACAGATAGGTATCCAAATAACTGCACCAACTTTTCTGATTCCAATTCTGATCCTGATATTCCCCATGAGGGAAGTCCTGTTCCAACCTCTGAATTAACTGCCACCTCACGGAAATGTTCATTAGAGGAGTATGAACAACTGAAGTTAGAGAAAGAGAGCTTTGTAGTTGATCTAGCTCGATGTACTGAAAACCTGGAAAACACCAAGACTCAGTTGCAGGAGACTGAAGGACAATTGGCAGAAGTTAAGTCACAGTTAACTTCTGCGCAGAAGTTGAACAGCTTGGCTGAGACTCAGCTCAAGTGCATGGCGGAGTCATATAAAACACTTGAAGCACGTGCAGAAGAACTGCAAACTGAAGTAAACCTCCTCCAGGTAAAAATAGAGAGTCTGGATAATGAGCTCCAGGAGGAGAGAAGAAATCATCAGGATGCTTTGTCCAGATGCAAGGATCTTGAAGAACAGCTGTTAAGGTTAGCAAAAAAATAAAAAAATAAAAAGGTTATTGATACTTGCATATATTATTTCTGCTCATTCCACTTCATTTATGATTTTGAACTTGGTTCAAGACATTGTCACCGTCAAGAAAAGGGTAGAGTATTTTTTAAAATGTTTTTCCTCTCTTAACACAAATTATCACTGAAAATATGTTCTGAACTTTGAGACTACAAGAACATCTATACTAATTGACATGAACAATTCACCCTTTTATTAGTGTATTGAACTTTCAATGAGGTGTAAAAAGTCCCTTTTATGTTGATTTTTCTTTGTCAACTATGAATTCATGTTAATCAATGGGGTTCTACAGCATGCTTTCAAATCTTAAATGCATTGATGAATCAGCTAGTTTATTTAATTTTATTCATGAATTTGCTTTCCTTTGTTTTACCTCGTCTTTTTCCAGGATCAGAAGTTGTCCGCCTGATGTTGATGCCAAGACTAATCAGGTGAGATGTGTAGACCTTCTTGAGATGCCCTTTTGGATTGTTACTTGGGTTCTTAATATGATCCATCCTTGGCACATATTTAAATCCACAGAAAGAAATCTAACAAATATCAATCAGCAACAATGTATATGGCGTATCATACTTTCCTATGCTTCGTGTTAGATGATAAAAGAATAAATTTGGAGTTTGGAGGATATGTCAACTATTTTTAAAAAAATAACCTGTAGCAAGTGGACGCATTTTTTTTAAAACCTGAAACTTGCTCATTCTTGCTGCCCATGATTTGAGGTGATTTGATAGGTAGCCCCTACTGCTTCCCTGAATAAAAGGAAATCACGAATTTTAGTGTTTCATAAACCACTTTTTGTGGGATTTTTTTTATTTGGTATGTTCTTGGATCTAGTGTCTTACACAGCATATTTTGCCGTTTTGTATTATTCCAGGAGAGAGATCTGGCAGCTGCAGCAGAGAAGTTGGCTGAGTGTCAGGAAACAATATTCCTCCTCGGCAAGCAGTTGAAAGCCTTGCGTCCTCAAACAGAGTCGATGGGGTCCCCAAACCATGAGAGGAATCACAAGGACGAGGGTTTCAACGAGGAACCCACCATCAGTGGTATGAACTTGCAAGAAATTGATCCATCTGAGTCAGACATGGCCACTTCAGTCAGTTTGCACCGAGCAGGCGGCGACTCCCCAGTAGACTTATACTCTGCCCCATTTAGTCCTGACTCTGAAGGAAACAACCTGCTGAAGTCGCCAACAAGCTCAAAATATTCAAAGCATCGGCCTACTAAGTCGGGCTCATCTTCTTCATCTTCTACACCAACTCCAGAGAAACATTCTCGTGGATTAAGCAGATTCTTTTCCTCAAAGGCTAAGACTGGCAACTAGTGCTTTTGTCTTTGCAAGTCTATCGAAGGTTGGTCGGGGCTCTCAAATAAGATGTATCTAGAGAAAGCATTTGTAAGTTTGTCTGTAGATAGAAGTCCAAATCTCTTTTTAGTTTGATGTTGTAATGTTCCAATAGTCCGTGATGAAGCTTGAGATGGTCGCGAGCCATCAAAATGGGAAACTCTTATCCATTTGGTTATCACAAGGGGTATTAAAAAGCGAATCTTCTTCAAAAACAGAGGATCGTACTCATGCCATGGAGACTTTAGTAACGGGCCATAATTACAACTACACTATTTTATGTTCCAATAATGCATGGTTGAAAATATGAAGCTTCAGATGGTCACGAGCTATCAAAGTGGGAAAATTTGTCATCCATTAGGTTATGAAAAGGCATGTTGAAAAGCCAATCTTCTTCTCGAAACAGATGATGATATCCACGCCATGAAGACTCTGGTTAGGGGCCACAATTTAAGCATAAGAAGCTACTGATGCATTGTGATTGGGGTGGTTTTTGTTTAAGATGAATGTATGTGATGTTTATAGTACCTTTACTATTTTTACTTCTCTTCCATGATAAATTGCAAGGTTAATGTTTGACTCATTGACATAGTTTAAGAACTTGTATGTTAAGTTAAAGCAATGATGTAAATATGTTTTTTGATGCGTGCCTACCTCCTTTCTGTTTCTGGCCCTTTCTTCTTTGTCATACCAAAACCTCTATTGTGTTATATACGTCTGACAATTCAAAGCTAACTCCACTACGTAAATTCCAATGGAAGATAAATAGCTGGAACCAAGCAGTCCTTAACAACACTAACCCTAGCCAAGCAGTCCTATTATTCTTACCCGAACTGAGGAAAACTAAAAACACGTGCACAATACTATTGTGCATTGACAGCGCAAGGCGTTAAAAGAAATCTCTGGCCTGGCATTTTACAGCGATCCATTAATTATATAGGATGTTGCTGCAGTATGTTTAGTAATCAAAGAAGACGTGTGGAAAGTAAAGCATATGGCAAAGAAGCAGGCACGTGGAAAGGTAAAGAATATGTCAAAGAAACTGACATGTACGGATCAAGAAGGGTTATTTTTACAAAAGTAAGTGGTGACCTATAACCGGGATTTGGAAATGTTGCGTACTGCAGAAGCTAAAAGTGTGTTGGGATGTCACGGAATTAACATAAATATAAAGGGCCTAAGAATAAAACATTTGTGAAGAAGCGTAAGCAGTACTAATTACTAAATAAAGCCATCCTGGGGCCACCGATTATGGGCATTACATCAACAAAATACTATCTATTTATTGGCATTTTACTCTGAATCATTATATTTATGTAAAATACATAAATATTTTGGATAGCACGGATATTCACACTAGCTATCCTTGTACTAAATTTTATGAGCATTTTACTCTAAATCATTACATTTTGGATACTACTTTGATTAGAATTTAGTTTAAAGACATTCACTGGAGTTTGGACGCATCCAAAGAGCACCGATCGATGTATGTTCAAGCGTAAATTGAAATAAATATGCAACTTAAATTTTTTAAAAATAAATTACTACTGCATATCAGAAATTTACTTTTTGGAGAGTAGGTTTAGTTCATACTATTTTTCATAGTATTTTAAAATATATAAGTACAACAAATTTTAAATTATACCTATAATAATGTATTATACGAGTATATTATGAGTACTTACTAACTAAGGTACTAAGTTTTAATCATTGATAAAACATCTTATCGTTATTTCAAATAAACTTCCTAATATTAGTTTGAAATAAGTTTTAAAGTAAAATAGTACATGCGTCCCATAAATCAATAAATCTTGATTATTAATCAAATTTGCTATGTTATCAGTAATAATTACTATTTATGTATAAAACTTACTATTACTTGAATTAAACTTACTAAGGTATATTATGAGTGCTTACTAACTAAGGTACTAAGTTTTAATCATTAATAAAAACATCTTATCATTATTTCAAATAAGCTTTCTAATACTACTTTGAGATAAGGTTTTAATGTAAAAATTGTACATGCATTCCAAAAAATGGTAAATTTTGATCCTTAATCATTTTTATTGCCATGTTATTAGTAAGAATTACTATTGATGTATAAAAACTTACTGTTATTTGAACTAAACTTACTCTTTTAAAAGTAAGTTTGGGATATCAAGTAGTAATCTATTTATTTAAAAATTAAGTTTAATATTTATTCCAATTTACCTTTTGAGGTATAAAAGTTACTAATCTATTACACTTAACTTACTATTTTAGATAGGAAACTTACTTCCATAATTTTAGGTGTTATTTTATTTAGGCGAATATGTCCAACAATAAATCAAATGATCGCTAAAAGTGTAACAACGTGTTATATCAGGTAAAAACTATTGCGCTATCATAACTATCGCTTAGTATCTATATCTAAATGTATTGCTGAGGGGGTTTTGGATAAGGAGCTTTCAAAATTATCAAAAGTCTGAATGCTATTTTAATAGAATTTTACATTTTTTAATTAAAAAATATTTATCTCTTAACTAATCATGTAACCGGCCCTACAAATCCTATAATCATACTTATATTTTTTCCACATTTCCCTTATGTTTTTTCCACTACCCCATAAAATTCAAACTCCTAAACTTTAACTAACGGATAATAACCACCCCTGTAAAATGATATTTGCAAATTCCAATTCACATCTCACATTTATTACTGACACTTACCATATCACTTAGAGTAATAACTAACCGTTAATTTAAGAAATTCGCAACTACGAAAATCAAATATCCAAAATTTAGGAGCCTGTTTAAATTACAATTTTCACAATTCAACGTATCTTATTGTCATAATATATTTTACTCTCACAATCATTCACAAATTATAAAGGCATTAAAAATAAATAATTTTTTTAATAAAAATTAATTCAAAGGTAGTTAATTCACACACACACACATATATACATACATATATATATTCTCATAATGCATATATATATATAAGATTATCAAATCGAATGCATAATATTGGTAAGTATTTCATTTTAAAATAAAAAAAATGCAATTACATTTATTTCTATCCATATATCATTCATTTTCTAATATAAATTATTATTATTATTTTAAGATCCATCTTTTGCAAAAACACAATTCTTGAATGATTTACAGTTTTTGTCATATTTTGAACTATTGTTAGACAAATCTTAAATTTTAATTATGTTGGTATAATTTTTTTAACTTTTTTCAAATTAAAATGGTATAATTTTTTAATTTATTTTAATAATGTAAGTACCGTGCGTAGCACGGATATTCACACTAGTTGTCTTTGTATGACCGAGCCTGAGAGTTTGAGCATGTTTTGGTTGAATGTTATAATTCAAAATTTGGGGTTTGGAGGGAATATGTTATATCCATTGTAATCAAAACTCAAATAAAAGTGGGGATAAGCCTGGTTGTCACAACGAACTATATAAAGTGGATTTTTTTATTTATTTGCAGAATGCTATCTTATTTTTTCATGCATCAGAATGGATTGATTACAAGTTGCATTTGCTTGCCTTTTGCTAGAATTTTGGCTAATTAACAAATTATACTAATTGTAGAATAGTAAGTTTGTAATCATTTTCAATTTTTGAAAAATTTAAAAGTTTAGATAACAATAACAACAAATCTTCCTAGTTACATGTAGAATATCACTTGTTTCTATATCACAATTTTTATAACTTAAAACCTATGAATATAATAAGATAAAATTATTATTTTATAATACGATAAAATTTTATTATTTTCTAAGGTTATGTGAAAGGTCAAAATATTTTTCACAAAATATTTTAAAATATATAAGTACAAAAGAATATTAAATTATACATATAATCATGCATTATACAAGTATGTTACAAGTACTTACTAACTAATGTACTAAATTTTAATCATTTATAGAATATTTTTATTGTTATTTCAAATAAGCTTCCTAGTATTCATTTGGTATAAGCCATAAAGGATTGAGTAATTTGAGTCAGTTGCTTCTGTGTTAATTTTGACTGTGGTTAACAAACTCAATGATTTAGTCCGTCTAACATAGGTTAATGGGAAAATGGGTCACAGTTGGCTGGAATAAAATTGTAATAAACCCGTTTTTCAATAAAAAAATAAACTCTTTATGACTTTTCTCTATTATAAGAACAGAGTACCCATTTTCTAAAAAAAATTATTTATTAGATAAAATAAAAATAAACCCATTTTTCAATAAAATCCTAACTCTTTATGCCTTTCCTCTATTATAAGAACCGTGTACCGATTTTGCCATAAACAAATTTATTTATCGGATAAAAAAAATTTATTTATCGAAAAAAAAATGAACCCGTTTCTCAATAAAACATCAGCTCTTTATGGCTTCCCTCCCTTATAAGAAAAGAGTATCCATTTTGCCATAAACATCGAATAAAATAAAAATAAACTCTTTTTTCAATAAAAAACCAGTTCTTTATGACTTTCCTCAATTATAAGAATATAGTACCCATTTTTCTAAAAAGAAAAATATCATTTATCGAATAAAATAAAAATGAACCCGTTTTTCAATAAAACACAAGTTCTTTATAGTT